CTCCATTGCTTCTTGTTCTGCTTTCAGGTGCTTTGGAGAATAGGTTGACCCTCTGTGGCACCCCTCAAAAACGGGAATGCTGCTATCAGGTCACCCCTCGTCCTTCTTTTCTCTAGACTAGACATACCCAAATCCTGCAACCGTTCTTCATATGTTTTAGTTTCCAGGCCTTCCAGGCACTTTTTCCAAAGTCTCAACATCTTTTTTGCAATGTGGTGAATAACAGTGTCCCCCAACCTTTTTTGTGCCACGGCCCGGTACCGGCATCACAAAATGATCCGCGGCCCGGTACCGGCATCAGCACGCATGGCAAGGCGAGCCGAGCGACCGGCCAGCCAGCCGTTCCCTGCTTCTCCCCGCCACCTTCAACTCCTCCTTTGTACCTTTGTCGATGGGCTTCGGGACGGCTTCGGGACGGTCGCTCGGCTCGCCTTGCCTTGGGTGCTGAAAGAATCCTCGCGCCTTAGTTTTGTTCGAAGCCGCCCCCCCTTCGATGAAACTAAGGCGCGAGGATTCCTTCAGGACCCAAACGCCGCTTTCCAACTGGAAAAGCTCACCGGAAGCACTTTCTCATCAAAACAAGATGGCGGCGGCCAGCAAACCGGCGGCCCGGTAGAAAATGTTCCACGGACCGGTACCGGTTCGGGGCCCGGTGGTTGGGGACCCCTGGTGAATAAGATCCTGTGTCGTATATCAGAAGCTGAGAGTGCCTTGGCCTGAGCTGGGTCGTTCTGTTTGCAAGGCCAGAGTTGGTCCTTGCTGATTAGTCAATGAACTCTGATGTTAATTGCCTTGGGCTTCATTGTGCCTCTAGTTCAATTCCCCATATCTAAGTAAACTGGTATTCAAATGACTCATTCGCCCTGTTGTATGTGCTGTCTGGGCGACACCAAGAGAAATGCTGAATACAGGGAGTCCTCAACCTACAAGAGTTCATTTAGTGACCATTCAAAATGACAACAGGACTGAAAGAAGTGACTTATGACCGCTTTCACACTTACGACCGTTGCAGCATTCCCCATGGTCACATGATCAAAATTCAGTTGCTTGGCAACTGAGTCATATTATGACAGTCACAGTGTCGCAAGATTCAGTGATCCCCGTTTGCAACCTTCTGACAAGCAAAGTCAACGGGGAAGCCAGATTCACTTAATAACCGTGTTACTAACTTTTAAGAGTTGCCATGATTCACGTAGCAACGGTGACAAGCAAGGTCGAAAAATGGGGCCATTTAACAAATTTCTCACTTAGCAACACAAATTTTGGGCTCAGTTGTGGTCGTAAGTCAAGGGCTATTTGTTGCAAGCCGTTGTGATAGCAGCTTGTGTGGTTTTAGTAGAAGTGACATTTTTACTGGTTTATCAGTAAAAAAAAATTCCTCTTGGCTAAGTATTTGATTTTTAGCATTCCAAAATGCTAAAGCGGATGGTTTTGAATCCGGCCACTTCCCCAGAGTTTTGGATCTAAATCTTTACATGGCAGCATGCAGTTAGTCTTGGGCTTTTCATTCCTGAAATGTATTTACATTTTTCGCCTTCTCTCCATTTCAACTTTCAAGGGAGCATCGATAAAACAGAATAAAATCAGACTTGGTAAAATCTATTTTATGTAGTGTTGCTATGAATCTCTAGAGCTGGTCCATACATCAATATGACGGCAGCTTAAAAGGGAATAAAGATGCAGAGGAAATGCAGATTGTGACAGATTGCACAGGTTGAAATTTTAGACTTCATTAAAGATATTCTCTTCTTTAGACCAACGGCGGGTTGTGTGATAGAGTCAGCCGATAGCTAAAATAAAGACAAGGGCGGTGTAGAAGCATCTGTCCCTATTTCAGTTTCTAACTCAGTTGTTACGTAGGTCAGGTGCTGTACTGCCTATGATACCGTGACAGATTAATCAGAGCCTGAGAATCAATTGATCCCATAAAGCAGTGGTAGGTTTGAGAGATTATGAGAGAAAACAAGAAACCCAAGAGCCAGTCTGAAATAGTGGTTAAGGTATCAGGCTAAAAACTGGGAGGCCAGGAGTTCTAGTCCTGCCTAGAGGACTAGAAGGAGGCCATGGCAAACCACTTCTGAAAATTTTGCCAAGAAAATTGCAGGCAGTTGTCATTTGAAGAGGGAGGGAGGGAGGGAGGGAAGGAAGGAAGGATAGATAGAGAGATGGGGAGCAGGAAGGAAAAGATAAAAAAGATGGGAGGGACAGAGGAAAGGGAGGGAGGAAAGATGGAAGGAAGGAAGGAATGTTATATATAATCAGCAGAGGAAAGGGATTTATTACTAGCTTATCTCATACAGTAAATGGAAGCTCAGCTGAGCTGCAAAAAGGTCAAGAAGAGGCAATTTGTGACGTTCAAAGAAATCCCATCTCAGTGAACTCACTGATAGAAGAAAGCTGAGGTTCCATCTGAAATTTCCAAGATTTTACATTTCTTATTGTTGTGTTCAAACTCCTGACTGAAGTCTGAGTGGCTCTAGCTTCTTTAATCATTCCTTGCACTACTGAGCTTGGCGAGAGTTAGGTTGGCTCTAGGCTAGAGATCCGTCCTGGGCACTCTCAGGAAAATATCTGCCCAGGGGCTGAAATCATTCTTAGAAATAAAACAGATGACAGAGGTCACTTATTCCTTTTTTAATAAAAATAAGTCACATGGGCATCTCAAAGTACCCTCATGCTTATTCTTTTCATAGCTGTGAAGAATCTTCTCAGATGTTCTGCATTCTTTTAAAGCAGGGCACAAAAAGCCTTTCAAAAGACTCTTACTTGCACCTAGAAAAATGGAAGAAGGAGAAACTCCAGAATTTCCCAGGGGCAGAATCCTCCATCAATATTGAAAAAGTCCCTGAGGAAAGGGTCCTTCTGGATTACTCCACTTGGAATATAAGAGCCAGTCTCATGTAGTGCATAATATCACATGTATAAGTGCAAAGGGGTGTGCATAAATGCACCATCGTGCCTCCTGTCCCCATTTATTTTTATTTATTGTCCCCATTTATTTGTACCTATTTCCTGTATTCTTACTCATGTTTATATGTACTTATACCTATTATCCTGTAAGCAATTGACAAATCAAATAAATCAAATAAATAAATAAATGAAGTGGTTTAAGGTGGTGGCTCAGAAACCAGAAATTGTGAGTTCTAGTCCTGCCTTAGCCA